CCCGGCTCTGGCTATATAAGTCTGACCAGTGCTGACCATTTTGGCCAAACCAGGGAAAACCCTCCTTATCTAAAGATGAATTACTCTTCATGTCTCACCTAAAGGGGGATGTATTTTTTTTTTGCCCAGTAGAGGATCTCAGACTCAATACCCACATCCTAAATGTCTCAAACAATAGAGAGGCAAATAACAATTACTCTGCCCTCAATATCTTCCAAATTGACATATGAGGATGCTATGACCATGGCAGCACTTATGCAAGCTTACCATCGAACTGGTGTGGAACATGCATGCTGGTTCAATTGGCTATGCCCTTTATCCAGTTTTTTCTCTTAGTAAAAGCTAATATCTCAGTCTATACCCTAACCTGTCATAGTTCCTGATGAAAGGAGGATGCCAGATACTGTCATCAACAAAACACCTTTGGAAACTTTTAGAATATCCAAACCGTGTCTTTGAAGTTGGTTTTATATCTGTGGAGTCAACAAACCCTCAGATTCTTCAGGAGGAGACAACTTTGATGAAGGAGGTCCTTTCCAACTTGGACTCACTCATGGTGCCTTGACAATACAATCTTGTCTCTACTTAGATAGGGAGCTCCAGGGCCAGTGCCTTTACTCTTATCATAAAATCTAGGAGGTATATAATAAGTGCTTTGGCAGTGAGCTTGTGGATATTTCCTAAGAAATTCCAAAAGCTCATTTATTTTGGTTATCTTGTGTCTTAGGGTCTCTATTTCTGTGAAGAGGCACCATGACCATGGCAACTCTTATAAAGGAAAGCATTTAATTGGGGTGGCTCTCGTACAGTTTCAGAAATTCAGTCCATTACCATCATGACCAGGAACATGGCAGTGTACAGGCAGACATGTTGCTGGAGTAGTAGCTGAGAGTCTTACATCTTGCAGGCAACAGGAAGTTGACTGAGACACTGGGAAATATTTTGATAATAGGAAACCTCAAAGCCCATCCTACAGTGACACACTTCCTTCAGCAAGGGCATACCCACTACAGCAAAGCTATACTTCCTAATAGTGCAACTCCCTATGACATTGTGGGGACCAGTTATATTCAAACTACTACATTTTACTCTACAGACTGTGCCTCTAAGTGAATAGGATGATACTAAGAAAGCATACTGATATGCTTACCGTTATCAGAGTGACAGAGTATCAGGTGATCTAGAGATTTGTAGAGAACTGGTTTTTCCTTCTTTAATTCAGTCCATGTTATATGCCAGTTACTTATTACAGATGCGACACAACTGACTGTTTTCATCTGTTGGTTGAGTGCGTGGAATGAAAATATGATTTTTAAAAAGGTTCTTTTAATAGGGTTAATTTTAGAGAAACATTCTGATTTTTCTTTTTCTTTTTTTTTTTTTCGAGACAGGGTTTCTCTGTATTGTTTTGGAGGCTGTCCTGGAACTCACTCGGTAGACCAGGCTGGCCTTGAACTCACAGAGATCCGCCTGCCTCTGCCTCCCGAGTGCTGGGATTAAAGGCGTGCGCCACCAACGCCCGGCCTGATTTTTCATGGTAACCATTGTAAAGTGAATCATTTACTGACATGGGTCATAGACTCAGGTGGTAACTTTGGATATTCTAAAATGTTCTAGAGAAGTGCCCAGTGAGGAGAGTGTTCTAGGGAAGTGCCCAGTGATGAGAAAGTAAGGTAGTCACTCTCTCTGGGAGTACTTTTTTTCAAGACAGGGTTTCTTTGTAGCTTTGGAGCCTGTCCTGGAATTCACTTTGTAGACCAAAATTAAAAATAGTTTCTTTTTGGGAAATACAGTTTAGAATTAAGCTGTCTCTTGGAATATAGATATAACAATTTGATTTTAAGTAAAATATGTAGTCATGTTTTTAAATACTAATTATGGTCATTTAAGGTAATAGTTCTAATTTAAAAAAATAGTGTATTGAATTGTTTCTAATAAAAAATTATGTTTTACTTGAAATACTCTGTTTTTGTTCATTATTGTTAATATCTGGAACAAATATACCCAGTTCATCATATGTAAAAGCTAAGACTATCACTTAGACACTTTCTGTTCAGGTTCAGTCCTCAGATGCTGACTTTAACTGATCTGATGCACAGCTTCTAGGTGTTTGTTGCTTATGCAGGAGTCTGGTGTAAGCAAACAGGTAACTACAGTTATCCTTCTGCAGAGCTCTGGTACAGGGTGCAGTTGTACAGTTTCATCTAACTCAGTCTTGATGTCCTCATTGTTTCTTAATGTTCCCCACAGAGTTGTACACTTATCTCCTGACTGATATTCTAGATCTCTGCTAACTAGTAAGTTCTATCACGGCCCCTGAGATGGACTTTCTTCTGAGACACTCTAGCCACTGCTCCTTTAATTTCTCTTCTGTCAGCCTTGAAGAGATCAGCACCACAAACCTCTAAAAGCAGTTTAAGTGTGATGGGGGATGTCCTTCTGTATATATGTTTCTCGTATTGGTTGATGAATAAAATACTGTCTGGCCAGTGAGACAGGAAGATAGGTGGGACTAGGATGAGGAGAATTCTGGGAAAGGTAGGCAGAGAGAGCCCACCAAGGATAGTTGCCATCTAGTCAACAAAGGAGTAGAAGGTCCGGACATTCTCTGGTAAGCCAAGGCCACATGGAAATTCATAGATTAATAGAAATGGGTTAATAATTAAGACAGAGCTAGCCAGTAAGAAGCCCTAGTTCCCTAGTCATCGGCCAACACTTTTATAATTAATATAAGTCTCTGTGTGTTTATTTGGGGCTGAAATGGTGGCAGGACTTGGCAGGACAAGAAAATACAGTAACACAAGTGGACTAATGTGCCACGGGCCATCCAACCTATCCCTCTTCTTGCAACTCTGGACACTGTTTTGGAGACTCAGAAAAGAAACAGCTGGACTGAAGCCTCCTTTGCATATGTTAGCCCCTCTGTCTCACCAGCCCTGATCAACTTAGCATCCTTCAGGACCAGTTCAACTCCTCGACTGCTGCAGTACTCCACAACTAAAAAGGACTAGCTCTGACTGCTGCTAAGGATGGGTTCTGTGCCCTGCTCTGAGAATAATGCTGCTACCATGGCAACAAATCCTAACTGGTTTGAAATGAGGCCCAAGGATGCAGGGACCAGACAAAAATTCTTCCTGGTTCCCTCCACTCTGGTTATTTCTCTTGCTCACTCTTGCCTCTTTATCCTCATACCTATGTTTGTACCCTGTCTTTTAATTTTTTTACCTACTGAACTTTACCCTACAAAATGTTCCACACAAGAGCTCTCACCCTGTCACGGCTTGTTCCTGAAACATCTGCCAAAAAGACCTTTTAGATGCCTTGGAAAAACTGACTAAAAGGAGCCTTCATCCCTTTCACTGTGGGCCAGATACAATTTTTTTAAAGATTTTATTTATTTATTATACAACACTCTGCCTCCATGTATGCCTGCAGGCCAGAAGAGGGATCAGATCTCATTACAGATGACTGCCAGCTACCATGTGGTTGCTGGGAATTGAACTCAGGGCCTCTGGAAGAGCAGCCAGTGTTCTTAACCACTGAGCCATCTCTCCAGCCCCAGATACAATTCTTTACATTAGTCCTCTGTTTTTCCCTGTTCCCCTCCTTTGATGCTTTGTAGCTCCCTGCTACTTCTGCTAGCTCATTTTGGTGCAACAGTGTAAATGGAGTTCTTAATTGGTCCAAATAATAAAGCCCCAGACTCTGATACAGAAGAAAACGCTGAGAGATCAGAGAAGGAGCAAGCCAAAGCCACCTTTACCTTATTAGCTTCCTAGTGGAAAAGAGTGAGTTGCTGCTTCGTCCAGCTTATATCCTCTCTGCCCAGCCATCTCACTTCCTGTCTGTCTGTACAGACCTCCAGACCTCTATGGTTAGCTAGTGGCAAGCTCCATCCTCTGATCTTCAGACAAGCTTTATTTATACAAGCAAGATGTCACCACACAGCAGCCCGGCAATGCCACCGAGTCAATTCTGTGCCTACTCCCTCTCACCGGCTCACTGCATCTCTCTATCTTTTCCCTCAACCTTCCTGCAGAGTCTCTCAGTTTTTACTCTGCAACCAAATCTTCTGCTTACCTCTCTCGAATGGTGGTTTTCCAAGTCTTCTTCAGGAATACAGGATGGTAATCACCTGATCCATCACAGCCATTCAAGTTGAGACTCCTCTTGCTGTGTGTGTCCTCTTCAGTGGGCCTAGAACTACCCCTCTGACAGAGGCTTTTCTCACAGAAAACAGCTGTAATGCCCCTGCCCTGCATGTTTATATCCTTTCAGAGTTAGGAATGATGGTTTCCTGCTGAAAGATTGCAATTTCTGGCTCCCCTTGTGGACTGTGGAAGTCATTTTGCATTTATGCTCATAGACGGTTCCATATCCTATCTTCCCCTGTAGGTATTTTGGCTGTCTGCACACAGGTGACAAAACAGTGCTTCTCTATAAAAATGCATGGTCCTACCTAAGGTCAGATTGTTGTGAGATATCCACCAGAGAAGATTGCTTGAGCATGAGTTTAAGCCAATAGAACATCTTTACTAGCCAGCTGGTGACTACACTGGTGAGCTTTTAAGCATAAAAACCATGTTTTGGGTTGACATAAGAACAGTTGTCCAGAAGCAGAACTACAAAAGCAAGCAAGCAAGGCTAGTACTTTCCCAGAACTATGGACTTTGATGGATTAGGTCTTTGTTTTCATTTTGTCTGGCTAATGGTGTCTGTGAGCTGAGTGGCATTTCCATCATGGGGTCAGTTGTGCTAAGGTCTGAGTGCCTACTGAGGTCTGGGACCTGTTACAAGATCAATCCTCTCTTTCTGCCTTCCTTCTCTCTACCACTGCCTTTCAATAACCCAACACGAAATCACAATACATAGTGCTCTGGGAGCTGTGTGTTTAGTTTTGCAGGAGGGCGTGGCAGTTATTTTACCAGCGTTGTTAGGGTCAGGGTTTGCCTGGGCCCTGGCAAGCTCTAACATGCCAAGCTTGGCAACCAGTCCTCAATAAGCCAGTGAGAGAGCTATTCACAGATAATAGTGAAAAGCAGGAAAAATGAAGAGATTATTCAATGTGCTCACATTGGGAAGAGCAGCAAAGAGGCCTGGTGGGCAGAGGAACAGGTATGTGTGAGTAAGTAGCCCTGGTCAAGGAGTACTGCTGCTGCCACTGTCCCTGCTCCAGTCTCTCCTGAGAGGTGACCTGACAAGTTGTCAGAATTCTGTGAAGTCTCTTTCAGGGAGACAGCTTTCCCCTCTGTCTAGTACCAGGCTTCATATTTTTTTGTAGGAAACACATCTTTATTGGGTAAATGTTTCTTTTTATTATTATTTTATTATTATTTTAATTTTAAATAGCTTGCTTCACATGTCAATCCCAATTCCCTCTCCCTCCCCTCCTCCTGCACCCTCCCCCACTATCCTCCCCAGCCTCCCACCCTATCCCCACTTCCTTCCACATAGGGGATATCTAGAGTCTGTCATTTCACTCAGGGCAGGATCCAGGCACTCCCCTAAGAGTCCAGGCTGATAGAGCATCCCTCTTTGTGTTATGGACACACGATGTCTGTTAGTATTCGAGGGATAAACACTGATCCACTGCTCAGGACCCCATAGGTTGCCCAGGCCTCCTCACTGACTCTCACATTCAGGGGGTCTGGATCGGTCCCATGCTGGCCTCCCAGATGTCGGTCTGGGGTTCAAGGGCTCTTCCCTGTTCGGATCAGCTGTCTCTGCTGGTTTTGCCAGCTCATTCTTAGCCAATTTGCTCATCGCTCCTCTCTCTGTCACTGGGTTCCTTGGGTTCAGTTCAGTGTTTAACTGTGGGTGTTTGCCTCTGTTTCCATCAGACACTGGATGAAGGCTCCAGGATGGTTATAGACATCAAGTTCATTATCAGGAATGGGCATTCGGGGTGGTCTCTACACTATTGCTTAGCTTGCCAATTGGTGTCATCCCTTTAGATCACTAGAGGTCACAATGGTGCCTGATCTGTCTTCTAACCTATGATTCCCCCTTCCCCCTATCCTACCCCCCCAGTCAACCTTCCTGTTCCCCCATGACCTACTCTCTCTTCCTCTTCTCCCCCTCTCTTCTTCCCAGCTCCCACCCCCCCCTCGCCGTGTTCCCAATCTCTTCAGAATATCTTGCCTCATTCCTCTTCTCTGGGGTACCATGCATATCTCTCTGAGGTTCTTTCCTGTTTCCCAGATTCTCTGTCAGTGGAAGTGCAGACTGGCACTATCCTGATCCATGTCTAAAATCTATATGAGTGAGTACATACCATATTTGTCTTTTTGTGACTGGGTTACCTCACTCAGGATGGTTTCTTCTAGTGCCATCAATTTACCTGCGAATTTCAAGATTCCATTGTTTTTTTCAGTTGAGTTACACTCCATTGTGTAAATGTACTACGTTTTCTCTATCCACTCTTCAGTTGAGGGGCATCTAGGTTGCTTCCAGGTTCTGGCTATTACAAATAATGCTGCTATGAACATATTGGAGCAGATTCCTTGTTGTATGAATTTGCATCTTTTGGATATATGCCTAAGAGTGGAATTGCTGGATCTTGTGGTAGATTGATTCCCATTTTCCTGAGGAATCTCCATACTGATTTCCAAAGTGGCTGTACGAGTTGGCACTCCCACCAGCAGTGGAGGAGTGTTCCCCTATCTCCACATCCTCTCCAGCATAAATTGCCTTCGGTGTTTTTGATTTTAACCATTCTGACAGGAGTAAGATGGTATCTCAAAGTTGTTTTGATTTGCATTTCCCTGATGGCTAAGGATGTTGAGCACTTTCTCAAGTGTCTCTTGGCCATTTTAGCCTCCTCTATTGAAGAGGAGCTTCTGCTGCATACAAGAAACACATCTCAACTTCAAAGCCAGACGTTACCTCAGAGTAAAGGCTTGGGAAAAGATTTTCCAATCAAAGGGACCCAAGAAACAAGTGGGTGTAGCAATCCTAATATCTAACAAACTAGACTTCAAATTAAAATCAATCAGAAGAGACAAAGAAGGACATTTCATATTCATCAAAGGAAAAGTCCATCAAGATTAAGTCTCAATTTTGAACATCTATTCCCCAAATACAAAGGCACTCACATTCATGAAAGAAACATTACTAAAGCTCAAATCACACATAAAATCTCACACACTAGTAGTAGGAGACTTCAACACTCTGCTCTCACCGCTAGACAGGACCTCCAGACAGAAACTTAACAAAGAAATAAAAGAACTAATACAAGTTATGACCCATCTGGGTTTAACAGACATCTATAGAACATTCCACCCAAACACAAAGGGATATACCCTCTTCTAGGCGTCACATGGAACCTTCTCTAAAACTGACCACATAATAGGAAACATAGCAAACCTCCACAGATACAAAAAAGTAGTAATAACCCTCTGTATCTTATCAGACCACCATGCATTAAAATTAGAATTCAACAATAACACAAATAGCAGAAACCCTACAAACTCATGGAAATTGACCAATGCACAATTGCACCATCCCTGGGTAAAGGAATAAATAAAAAAAGAAATTAACGACTCCCTGGAATTCAATGAGAATGAAGACACAACATACACAAACTTATGGGACACTCTGAAAGCAGTGCTGAGAGGAAAGTTCATAGCACTAAGTGCCCACATGAAGAAACTGGAGAACAGTCACACTAGAGAATTAATAGCACAGCTGAATGCTCTAGAACAAAAAGAAGTAAACTCACCCAGGTGGAGCAGATGCCAGGAAATAATCAAATTGAGGGCTGAAATCAATCAAGTAGAAGCCAGGCTTCATATTTTCATGAGGCTCCACTGCCCCAGGAGTCTGATAGCCCAGATGGAGGGAGGTGTCTCTTTAATCATTGTTCTTGCCAGGTAAGTGGTAGAGGCAGATTATTTGGGGCAGGGGAAAGAGAGGACTTCCTGATTCATCAGTTTTAAATTTTCTAGTGCTCTGTCAGCTTTACTACAATAATCATGTTTAATTTGTGAGATCAAGACATAAGGATTAGGTCACGGCCAGTCTGGGATACATGACTCCAGATCAGCATGAACTACTGTAGGACCCTGCCTTCAAACCAAACAAACACAATTAGTTACACAACATGTTGTTTGTATTATTTTTTTGCGTTTTGGTGTGTGTGTGTGTGTGTGTGTGTGTGTGTGTGTGTGTGTGTGTGTGTGTGTGTGTGACTATATAGTCCTGGCTAGCCTAGAACTCACTATGTAGACCAGGCTGTCCTGGAACTTACTATGTAGTCTAGGCTGGCTTCAATCTTGTGATCCTCTTTCTTCTGCCTCTTCAACACGGGTTACAGTCATAAAATTCCTTTTCATGTATGTATGTGTGTATGTATGTATGTATGTATATGTATATATGCACACGCACAACTAATAATTTTATTTTTATTGTAGTTGGGAATCTCACCTCATGTACCCTGATTGAGTTCACCTCCCAGCCTTCCCATGTCTGCCACCCCTCCCCTGTGACTTCCCCCTACCAAAAGAGAAAAGAACAAGTCCATTTTGTTGTCTATATACTCACCGGAGCGTGGTCAGATTCTCGGTGGCTAGCCCCACAAGGGAAGATGACTCTTTCTTTGTCTGCATCCATGCCAGAAGCCGTTAACTGAGGAGAGCCATGTGGTGGCAGGAGTGGGCAGGGCCAGCTCCCCTGTGTCCACTCTGATGCCTGCAGTGGCTGACTCTCCCACACCCATGCCATCGCCAGTGGTTGCCGATGAGGGGCAGGACCAGCTCTCTTGCACCCAGGCCATTGTTTGCCACAATATGCTGTGGGCTGGAGAGGGGTGAGGCCCTCAGACATTAACATGGCTTCAGGCTGCAGTCCATACCACGGACATCTGCAGGTGCTTCAGTGGTAACACAGGCCCAGACATTAACACCATCCTTGGCTGTATCAGGACCACCGATCTGCACATGGCCCTCATCAGTTTCGTGGGCCATGGGTCTCAACATGGCTTCAGGTGGTTACACATGCCACTCACATGCTACCCCCTGCCCCTGTAGCAAAGTCCCAGGACATCAAGGCATCAGGAAATGGCACAGACTGCATATGTCCTCATGGATCTCAGGGTTCATTGTGACCTGGGACAGCAGCATGGACCGGACACCCACATGGTCTCCAGTGGCATCATGGGCCACAGTGGTCCTTCGAGGAGGTCCAGTCCAGGCAGCGAAACTTTCCTCATCTTGGACCTCCATTGTTGCCCAGAGTCGGGGGGACCCCACGGCCAGATGGCAGGTTTGGAGGCTGAGTCTGCATCTGAATGCCCTCCAGGCTGTGAACACCATCACTCAGTCCCTACTGGGCAATGACAGCATGTTGACCTCAGTGCTCTTACCCCACCTGTCACCTCTATCGCGTCACAGTTCTGCCTCTCTCCATAGTGCATGCATCACTCTGTGTTTCTGTCTTTCCCGTCTCTCCATCACATATTTTTTGATTGTAGTGTTGTCCATCCACACCAACTGTGGGGCTCCTAGTCATATGTTAAATATGCCATGCTACAGCTACAGCTATAGTTGGCTGTGTCAGGAAGAAAGACTTGGCCTGTTCAGGCTTGCCTGGACCTATGTGGAGGCAGGACTTAATGCCAGGATACCCCACCTCCACAGTTGTCTCAACCTCCTCTGAATTTACACCAGTCATTGTTCCTGCAACGGCTCCTCCCCTGTACCCATCCCTGGGCATCCTCACCAGAGGCTTCTACTAGTCTGCCAGTCAAATGAATATAGGGTACATCTTGTGGCCCTTCTTGACTCACCTACCAAGCTAGGCTGGAAGAGCAGACAGTGGCCAACCCTCAGGGAGCTAGTGAATCATGGGAATCCTCATCTCTCTGAAGTTGATTTCCTAAGACCCTTCTCTGGTGGAGCCAGGTAATGCCAATTCCTTTTTGTTTGTTTTTGTGTTTTGATACAGGGTTTCTCTGTGTAGCTTTGGCTGTCCTGGAACTAGATCTATAGACCAGACTGGCCTCAAACTCAGAGTTCCACCAGTCTCTGCCCTCTGAGTGCTGGGATTAAAGGCGTGCACCACCACCACCCAGCAGTGGGAATCAGGGATAGTCAGGGAAGCCAGGTGTGAGGCGTCGG